GCAAATCAGTAGAAACCCTTGGGATATTAATGTCCATCTTTATAATCCTATTATGCACATGTTTGAAGTCTGTGTGTGTGTATGTGTGTGTGTGTGTGAGTGATTCTCTGGCCATTATGTCCAGTCAGGCTGTTTTAGAGTAAATGAGCAGTTAAAGTGTCATATTGCACAGCACACTATGTTGTATGTGCTTCATGTTAAATAACTGCAGAAGACTATATAACAGAACCTGCTCACAGTAAACAATCTGAATAATTCTTGCTGTAGATGTTACATATACAGTGCTGTACAAGTGACCACTCTTAGGGACAAGTTATTTGTTTCCCAGTATACATTTCTGAGATTACATATGAGGTAATCCACTGGCACAAAGAAGAAGACAGTCAAAGGGAAAATAGGTGAAAAACAAGAGTTTCCAAAACTGGCCACCCAAATTGTCGGCGTATAAACTGTAGTTAAAGCTTACATCTTTAAGAGATAGAAGAAAATCAAGCTGCTTCAGATCTGAAAAAATCCACAGGTGTCCATTCTTCCACTGTGAGAAGACAACTCAGTGGGTCTGAAAGGATGTGTAGCTGTCAAGAAGCCCTTATTTAGAAAAGGAAATAGTGAAAAAAAATTTGCAAATCAAACAAAGAAGCTGCTGGTGTTCTCAGAACAATGGACTGACCACCCCAGAGTCCAGACCTCAACATCAGTGTATTTGGGATTACTTGGATTGTGAGAAGCAAAAATGCAAGCAACTTCCAAGACTGAACCTTGGATTTGGGGAAAATATCCTTGCTGATTTCTTTGAAAAACTGAAAGCAAGTCTTCTAAAAAGAACAGAAGCTGTAATAAAGGAGAAGGGTGGAAACACTAAGTATTTGAAAATTATTTAGTTGTTGAGGATTCTGTGTTTTTTGTTACATTTATATCTTGTATAACTTGTACTGTTTGGACTGGAAATTACATAAATGAAAGGTGGTCTCTGACTTTTGCACAGTACTGTATCATCCTCAAACAGAACACTTTGGTGGCGTCTCTCATGAATGTATGTCCATATTAAAATGTGTAAAGCTTGTGAGTAAGCAAGAGGTCAGCAGAAATCCCCAGGAGCAGAATCAGCTATTTTTACACCATTTATTATGACATTCAGTGCAATTCTGTGACTAGAGGTTATTTTATGCTTTTAATTCATCTCTCTCTCTCTCCCTCTCTCTCTCTCTCTCTCTATTTTTATCTGTTCATCTCTCCTATAGTTCTTTGTTTTGACCCTAATTTATTCAAATTTGAATTCAAATACTTTACTATACAAGAGAAGTGGATGCACTTATGTAATTATTGTTCATTCTTTAAACCAAAGCAATGGAATAGTGTGAAGAGAGAGAGAGAGAGAGAGAAAGAGAGAATGAGTGAGAGAGTGAGGAGAGAGAGAATGAGCGAGAGAGTGTGGACAGTAGGAATGAGCGAGAGAGTGAGGAGAAAGAATGAGCAAGAGAGTGAGACAAGAGAGGGAGAGAATGAGCGAGAGAGTGAGAAGAGAGAGAGAATGAGCGAGAGAGTGAGGAAAGAAAGAATGAGTGAGAGAGTGAGGAGAAAGAATGAGCGAGAGAGTGAGGAGAGAATGAGTGACAGAGTGAGAAGAGAGAGAGAGAGTGAGCAAGAGAGTGAGACGAGAGAGGGAGAGAGAATGAGCGAGAGAGTGAGAAGAGAGAGAGAGTGAGTGAGAAGAGAGAGAGAGAGAGAGAGAGAGAGAATGCTTCACACATATTCAACAGCTTGAAAGTAGGGCATAAAATATTATACCTCTTAAGCAAATTAAGTAACAGTGGGACATTTATCAAAAATTCATGAAGTAGAATCATATTAAAAAGCTGCTTCAATGTTTAAGTGACTCCAAAGAGAATAGGCTACACACTGTTGAAACTGCTTTGCTGCTGGTTGCGTTTCATGTATTTCATGCAAAAATCCTCCTATAACCTCTGTAAGGACAGAACTGACTCACAGATATGACTGAATCTGTTGAAAATGTCCTTTGGTATGTATTTCATTACAGGATAAAATATAGTTAAATGAATTTTTTTATTAAACTTAATTTGCCCCCTAGCACAATATGTTTACCCCAAAGCTTGTTCATTAATTTTTGCTTTTTGTGCCATGAGCATTTGAGCAGCCTCCTCACCACAGTGGACATGATTAGCATCATTGTGTCCTTCACCCTATCTTCACCCTTAGAGAGGCACATAGAAATACTTAAAGACATATAAGAGAACTGAGCTGTTTACATTCAGCTGTTTGGATATATGTTGTAATTTTTGTGATTTCTTGTTTTTCAGAAGAGAAATGCATGTGGGTCAGTATGCATCTTATATGTATTATATGTATTTTAACAATCACTTTCTTAGTAGTCAAAGCTGTTATAGAAAAAGAGACTGAATTACTGTTGAATTGCAATCAAAGGAGTGATGAGGCTCTAGTTGTGTTGTGCCGGATTGTGTCTTGAATGAATGAATTTGTTTGTAATATCATCCAATCAAATTAGTCTGTTAGGTAGGCCTATCACAACTATTACATAATCTGCTGATGACAGTTATATGAGATGATTGCAGTTATTTAAACTGACCACGGTTGTGTTCCACTGCTGTTACATGTTTATGTCAGAGATGTTCATGAGTCGCTTCATGTGAGCCTGAGTTTCTAGTCTGAGGTGTGAGTCAGAGTCAAGTCTCGAGTCTTTAGTAGAGAGTTTTAGTTTAGTCTTCGTATGAGGTGCAGGTACTATGTTTTACAAAAGGAAACACCAGCTATAAACCTGTCAGGTTCGGCACGGCTTCAAATAACGAGTCTATCGTTACAGGAAAACCTGTCTGATGGACAGAAGTGAAGTGCTACATGTGCTTTTTAAAGGAAAGAGGCAAGACAACTCAAAAGTTAGCTAGTCTGTAGTTTGTATAGCAAGAATGCTAGCTAGAATGAGAGAGACCTATATGAGAGACTTATAAACCTGAAACTAAAAGCCATAATAAAGTTTCAAAATCATATTTGAAATCACTTGTAAAACCTGACCAAAAATAGTTTGTAGCATTTTCCTCAAATAACGCACGAAAAAAATTGTTTTTGCAGCTTATTTTAGCTATTGCGCATACTCATATCTCCACAACTAGGGAGGGCTTTTACCGCTTGCGGCTTTACTACAAGCTGATTGGCTCTTTTTTATTATAGCATAGACATGATGTTGAGCATAATGAGTTTCACTATTCATTTTTCACCCAGTGAACTGTTTCATACTGCTTTTTAATGTCTAATACTGTGTCTGTCGATATGTTTGAAGCTACTAATCAGCAAATTTGGCCACTTTAGGCTTGCATTTTAATAGTTGCATGCAATGAGCAAAAGATTTTTTAATGAAATTATTTATATGAAAATGAAACGTCAGCAAAATATCATAATTGTGACAGGCTTACTAGTAGGAAATTATTTCTGTTACATTTGTTAGTATTGACAGCCTCAAGGTAGAGCTGTCATGCAGATTGTGTTAAAGTTTAAGTACAATCCCATGTAACATTTCCCCTTTTACAAGAAAGCATACTACTGTTGACCCTTCTGAATGTCACTATGTGTATCCTGTGATTATTTATTGATTAAACTACTAAATAATGACATTTAGAGACATTTTCTATTATCTTGCATTCTATTAATCAATATGCAATGAGGCAGTGTGCGTCTCTGCATGATTTTTTTTGTGAGGTTGAGAATTCTCTTGGCCTTCATCAAATACGTAGGCACACACACACGCTCAAACTCCCTTAGGGTCACTCTTCTTATTGGACAGGCTACCCATCACAAACTCCTTCCCCTTCCCTGATGGCTTCTGGTCTTGCGGTGATTGACGTGTGCTGGGTGTGGTGATAAACAGCTTGGTCTAAGTACACCACTGGGCCTCTGGCTGTGTGAGCTATGGCTGAATATGTCAATACACACACACGCACGCGCACACACACACACACACACACATTCACACAATGCAATAAAGTTCAGAATGCAGCACCTCAGGGGTGAAAAGGACGAATAATGTTCAAGTCGAAATGCATCATGGGATTTCACTATCGGGTTCTTAATTTGAGAATTTGGAAGTGTGTGTGTGTGTGTGTTTGTAAGTGTGTCAGATCACACAAGATAGTGAGAAGGACGAGGGAAAGGAAGATTGATGGCATGCCAGTGTGTTACCATTCAGAGCCTGTAGGAAGGCACATGTCAGGATTTAGATGGTTGAACAGTGTGATCAGACTGGGTGTTGTCATTATAAGCCTGTTAACCTCTACATCACAAGAGGATGTTGGATGCTTTAAAAGGATGATAAGATAGACAAGACCCCCCCTTAAAGTACAAAACACTAGCTGTGTTCCAAACAGGGCTGCATTTTTAGATCGCTGTGTCATAAAATGCTTTCCTATCAGAAAAATCCCTCTAATAATGAAGCCTACATTACTGTGTAAAAGTGAAAGACCAGTCTTCATTTATTTAATTTACAGTCAGTACGTCCATTAAGTGCAAGCTATCCATTTTTCAGCATTAGAAAAAAACAGAAAATTACACAGACCTGTCCAGGTTGTATCCTGCCTTCCGCCCATTGACCGCTGGGATAGGCTCCAGTTTCCCCCATGAACCAGAAGGATAAGCGGCTTAGAAAATGTGTGTGTATGTGTGTGTGTGTGTGTACACAGACACCTTTTTTACACAGATACCTTTTTTCAATACTTAGTGTGCCTGTATTGCAGTTTCCATTCTTTTCGGAAAACTTGCTTTCAGCTTTTCAAAGAAATCTGCAGGGAATATTTTTCTGTACCTCCAAAGTTCAGTTTTAGTTGATTAACTTCTGCTTCTCACAACCCAACTAATTCTAAGCACATTCAGTAATGTTAAGCAAAATGGCTATTTTTGCATTGTAAATGTTGTGACCCCTTATTCCAATTCTTTCTGTATTTAATATGCATTTTGCTCTCCGTTGCATCCTGTAGGTACGACCAGACAGCCTCGAGATGGGGAGATCACAGGAGTGGATTATAACTTTGTGTCTGTCGAGGAGTTCTTCTCTCTAGAGGAATCAGGAGCTCTTTTGGAGAGTGGCAAGTTTAAAGGTCAGCTCACACTCAGGACATTCCTTCTGGTTGTTCAAATTGCACCATAGTATCTCATCTATTTTATCAGTAAAAGGACACATTGCTCTGAGTTCTGTTCATTCACATTAGAGCTACATGCTCCTCACACTGTGAATAAAAGGAGCAGTGGGGACTAAGAGATCTCAGACCTGGTCTCTGTTCAACAATACACTAGACGTCCTCTATCATCACCTGGTTTTTTCCCTCTCTGACTTTGGTTCAGTCTAGGTAACATTCAGTTGAGCCTTTCTGTCTTGTATCGTCTTTCCATTTTGAGATGACCTAGCCTAAGTGCCATTTCAATACTTACATGATACTCCTCTTCCTTGAAGGAGTTTGCAGAGCCTGCAAAGAATGAAAAGTTATATGAGGTCTCTTGGCATAAGCATTCATTCAGTCCCTGCTTAAGGAGCAAGATGCCTCCTTACAGCATAAGTGGGCCATGAATCAGTCAGACTGCTTCATTTTCTGCATTTTCCTTTTTTAACCCTGTAATGCAGGGGCAAAAAAGCTGCCATTTAATCAACTCTTCTTTGTCAATAATGTGATTTGTTAGTGCTCCTGTCTTATTTATTTATTTATTTAGCAAAGATTATAGCAACGCCAAAAAGTAGTTCGTTTTTATTTTGTTTGTGTCCCAAACTATCATTTTGAGAAAGCAGACAAATGAATAAAAACATAACACCTAATCTACTGCGATTAAACCAATTGGTAATAAGCGCTTTCATAGCAGTGTGAGCACACTTGCTCAAAAACTGTCACAGTGCATCCAGCAATAAAGACAGTATTGAGCTTTTTCTATACGGTGATTGGAAATACAGTAGCGTACAGAAAGGTCCACTTCCACATGCTGATCTATTTTATTATGACCAACACGGACATACACACATCAACTGCTCTGGGGGCAGATTTTAATGAGTCATAGGTCACAAAGCCAAAGTCTCTGAATGTATTGCTAGTAAGACATTAGATTTAATACCATCACTTATTGTTTTGTAATAGATGATATAGACCAATGTGTGTTTGTCCAGTAAGCGATATATACCAGAGACCAAAGTGATGTGACCCAGAGAATTTAGCCATGCAAGTACTCCCGAGACATCATTATTATATGTATACTGTACGGTTGTTAGCCTCATTGTGGTGCACCTGGTCAAATTGCATGTTTTGGTAATTTTCAAAGTGAAAATAAGTGAACACATCCTCTACAGAGAGCACACTTCTGCACATTTTAACACATCACAAAAAAATAATAAAACATAAACATGTGGCCAGTGCAAAAGTAATGGTACATTTTATTTTGTATGTTTTATTTTTTCCAAAAAGTTAAACTCAGCAAAAGATCAATTGCCACCATCCAGGCAACACTGCTCTACCACTGTAAGGCTACGTTGTCTTGTCGAACTCCACAGCATTTTAATATTGCAGTAGAATATACAGAGTCTCATTGCTTAAATGATCCTTTTTAATATTCAGCACTGGTGTTACCGCCTGGGTAGCGCTTGCAGGGTCTACACATGAGTTACAACTCTCAGGGGCGGGATCACTCCCGCTCTTGATTAAGAGAGTGAGATGTATTAGCATAAAAGATGCTGCGACGTTTACACAGAGCCATAAACGTCATTCTCACCTTGTCAGACCGGCGAGTGCTATGATTTACATTCTGCTGCAAAGGCAAGCTACTCAGTCAATAACTGGCAAGCCTTATATGTGGCTTAAAAACCACAAGGAGAACAAAATAAGCACTTCAAGACTATTCTTGGGAAAGAAGTGGAGAAAAACAGTAGTACTGCCTTTGCTCAGCGTTTCTGTTCTTTCTGGAGTAGAATCTTAGAAAAAAAGTGCTACATCAAAGCATTCTTGCATTGATTACTCACTGCCAAAAATATCAAGTTGACCTTGATATCTTGAGTGTCTCATTACTGTAAATATGAGAAACAGCATTGATATGTTACTAATAATACATAGTATGTGTTCCTTAAACATCTAGCTTCTGTGTCTGTGTTACATGATATAAAAGGGAAACTGCAGATTCAGCAGCCATGTGTGTTTATATTGATTATGCCATTACCTCGCTTATTTGTTCTGTGCTACATGCTAAAGTACAGTCTCAGTGCAGCAACTCCCCACATAGATACACTTAAAGGAGAATACTACAGTTCACAGAGATGTAAAGAAAAGTCACTTCACAGTCGTTTGATGTGAAATGATGTAGAGGAACCTAGACTTCTTTACAGTGGAGGTAATAGGAATCAGAATCAGGGGTTACAATGCCTGCAATGCAAAAAAAGGTACAATTCAAAACTGGCAATGTGGCAGCGAATGTATGTGTTTTTTGAGTGTGTATATATATATATAATGTTGATAATAGTAAACTAGTGAAAAAAATGCTACTTTGCCTTATAATGGCCTGCATGTAACTCACGAGCACAAATGTATTTAAAAAAAAGTTTTAGGTCTAAAGCATATCTCAAAACTAGTCGTAGGGCAGCATATACGTAGACATTGCATGTTGTAGCCTTATGTGAGGTAGCTTTTGGCGGCATTAAACTCTTTGGACGTCTGGTTCCTACCATCACTGCTGTGAACAATTTGTCGGCAAGTTTGTCTAGAGCGGAGCATTTCACAAAGATTCTGATTTTTATATTGATATACAGTAGCATGTTTGAGGTCCTTGGTCAAACTACCTGTCTTTCTTAATTTTCTAAATGATAAATAAGTTATACATCCTCTACAGAGAACATACTTCTGGACGTTATAGTAGCAATATTACTGTTTGTTTGCTGAATTTCTTTATATGGAAAAAATGTGGCCTGTGCAAAAGTCACAACACATTTTGAACTTGAGGTAGTTTTTTCAATATTTTAAACTCAGCAAATAAATATAAACTAAAATTTAGCACAAAAATTTGGTGAAAATGGCATATTTAAATGTATTCCCTGTAGATTATGTGTTCACTTATTTTCACTCAGAAAATTTCCAAACATGTACTTTGACTGGGGCTGTTCAAACTTTTGCATACGACTTTATGTTGATATTGGCTAAAGGCCGTTATAGTGTTGTAACAGATATGCCAAAGCTCAGGCCACTATGGTTGAGATAGAGAACGAGAAATTCTTTATCCAGCAGTAGATAAAATACTCAAGGCTCTTTTCCACTTTCTTTCTCTTTCAGGGAACTATTATGGAACCCCTCGGCCAGTCCACATCGGTCCAGAGAGCCCCCCAATCACCTACCAGGAGCACCGCAACCTGCTGAGGAAGTTTCGTACACGCAGCAAGTCCCTCAGTAACCTGGAGAAAGCAGCTGAGGAGGGCTACAACAGTGAGGAAGATTCCGGTCTCTCAGGTAGGGGGAGAAGAGTGAAGAAAGAGAAGGGATGTAAACAATACCTGAGTATTGACTTGGAGGTGCTTTAGTTTTGTGTATAATAATGGAAGCAGTGAAATAGAAAAGTGTGTAACAGAAATGCTAGAAATTATACTATTCAAACCAGACTTAGTTAGTCCTTTTGATAGTCTGTGTAACATTGTTAGTGGCAAAGTCCTCAGAATCCTGCCTTCTTTTAAGCTTTTGTGGCTGCATTTCAGAAGTTGAATCATGACAAAATATTCTTGTGGTTTCCAAATGACCAGATGATTCACACCTTAAAAAGAAATTCCACCAGTCTAAAATAACGCACAGTCAAATTGTTAAAATGAATTCCAAAGTGATTCAGAGTAGTTTGATGTGTCCCCAGCGACTTTTTTTTAATTTCCTTATTTTTGCAATTTACCAGTATTTTACGCTTATCAACATTACATATAACAGCTCAGCAGACACGTGTAGGCTCACTGATCGATTTGGACAGTAAATAAAATGACTATGTTTGTGTTGTAGACATTGTGACCCCTGGTTCTTATCGCCGCCACTGTAAAGACATCCAAGTCGGTAAGTTTCACAATGAACATCAAAACACTCTGAATGACTTTGTTTACATCTCAACAATTGAATTATACAGAAATTTTCAATAAATCGGTGGGATTCTCTTTTAAGTAGCCAACAGAAATATTTGTTCTGCAGTTCAGGTGGAAATGTTCATTGTGAGATCTTGCAAATGCATTGAACTCGAAAGAAAAGAACTGCAATAAATGGTCAGTGAGCTGTCTAGTTTATGAGACTACAGCAGCAATCTAAGTTTAGCATTTACAATGATATTTTGCTTTAGTTATAATAGTTGCAGTAGTACACACTTAAAAATATGGTTCTTCAAGTGTTCTTTGGCAAAGGCAATGGTTCTATTTTGAACCATGAGTTCTATATAAAACTATTTCATGCTTACATGGTTCTTTGCCAGGTAAAATTGTTCAGATTGATGGAGAATGTGTTGTATATGGTTCTATATTGAATCTTTTTGAAAATACCTCCATATAGCACCAAAAAGGGTTCTGCTATTGTTCCAGGCTACATCATAACAATAGAAGAACCCTTTTTTGTGCTATATAGAACCATTTTCAAAAGTTTTTATATAGAACTGTATACAACCTATGAACAATCTTTTTTAAATGTGTAGTAGTAGATAAATGTGCTAATTAGAAGTGTATATTTATGACCAAGGAACTGTCCAGGGTCCTGAACTTTAGACTCTTCCTTATGCAGTTTCAACCAGTGCTCTTGATGAAGTGTCCAGATAAAACACAACACCTGTGTTTATTTGTGTGTGTGTGTGTTAAGGGTTATGTCCATACTGGGAGCATGCTAATTAGCTTAGCACTGGGGGGGCAGGTTGCAGCTGTTCTGGTCCCAGCTGGGGATGCTTACGGTTTAAATTAATAAAGCTGGAGAAAATATTTTACAGCTGGGTCATATACATGCTGCACTCCTTATACATGAGACACTGAACAGATGCTATGTTGCATTACTGTAATCATTAAGCTGTTTGGAAAGAATAATTCTTCAAATAGTAGTTGTGGTGCTCCCTCGGTTTTGCATCTTATGAGGTAATTCAAATTAATTTTATGTTCATTTAGTTTTAAGCATATATTCTGCTGAAGATAATAGGACATAGCAAATACTGATAACAAATATAACAGTAAAACTTAAAATTTTAGAAACATAATAGTGATAGCTTCATTATCTTGCAGTGAATTATAAGTCGTTTATAACTCAAAAGAGGAAATGGGAAGAATGTCATTTGATCTCATGTATATCAGCAATACTGTTCTAATAATTAGTGTTTTTTGGTCAAAGCTTTGCCAGTATTTAAGCTCACTGTCTTCTATTGATAGGGGAAAACCTTAGATTAGAGGTCTGCATGAGCATGAAATTGAAGACCAAACCTGTCCATAAAATCCTTAGCTTTCTGTTGACTATTCCACCAATCTAAGCTGTTTCATTTAGGGGCAAGTTCACCCACTTCTCAAACTTCAGAACTACCCCAAATAGTTTTTACTATATTAGTATTAGTATTACTATATTATAATGTTACTAGAGAGAGAGAGAGAAATAGAGAGAGAGCATGTAGAGTCTAGGCATATTTCTTTATACAAAATATCACTCATTAGGAAACAAACAAAACTTGACCCAAGCTTGATGTTGTATGTGGGAAAAAAACAGCCCAAATCTGTCTCAGAACCCAACATTTTGTCAGCCCTCAACAGGTAGCAGACCTCTATTTGAATGACAGGTTGTAACACAAAAAAACTTTTTATTAGGAGACCTAATGAAAAATAAGAGGGAATTAACAGGACCCATAAGCATAGAGCATTATGGGTAGCACCACCCTCTAGTTCTACAGTATTTGTATTATTTAAGACTGTGCTTTTTAGCTGTTTGTTTTAGTTTAAGAAGTGCTACAGTTGAGACCTGAAAATCATATGAGTCACTAAAGTACCATTTAACTAAAACTAGAGTGAAAAGTTGTTATATAAAATATACATTTAAAACAACTTTGGCCGATATTAGCAGTTGTCTGAATTTTTTAGCTTGCAATCAGTATCGGTATTGACTGATAAAGATCAAAGATGAACAGTAAATCAGTCAGCAGGCCAGTTGCTTCATAAAGTGCAGCAGAATATCATGGACAACAAATCTAATTTCTTTGTCTCAAAACTTGAAGTTATGTGCCAGGTAGAAGAGTAACAATACAACATGTCATATTGTGTCATTCAATATGACCTTCTCAATTCAATACACACAGGACTCAAACAATACATTTAACAGAGTGGAGCAAATTAAGTACTCAGTTTAACATGATTATACTGCATGAAGTATAATAAAGATTAAACATGCAAGCCCACATTGAGGCAGGCCCTCTTTCCTTTGAAAATATTGCTTCCTCTTCACCTTAAAATGTAGAGCAGGGAGTAAAAGCAAACTCACTGTAAGTGGATGGAGCATTACTGTAAAATTTTGTACTTTTGTAATGTTGACTACTCTAATAAACTGAAAATGGAAACATTAACAGACAGATTTTCAGGCACAGTTTTCACTGTATTGAATAATTGTACTGAATCAAGACACCACCATGCTGTATAAAAATGAATTATGAATTTTGTGAATCGTTACACCCCAAGTACCAGGTATAATGGCAACACAGTGGAAGTGCCTGGGGTATTGGAAGGGATATTGTATGCCACCCAGGAATCAAACCAGCAGTCTCGTAGCTTCCAAAGTGGAGCCTTCTAATCTTCCATCTAATCACAACTGATGTGTGATTGAGAGCTTATTGAGATTCTCTGAGGCAGACACTACTATCTTGAGCCAGAATCTTACTAGGAACCCAATAATGAGACTAGCTACTGAGAAGAAAGCTGTTCAGTTGTTTACACAGTTCTGTTGTATGACAATACAATAAGTTGTGGCTAAAGTTTACTGCAAACTGTTGCAATAATATGCTGTTATATGCGTTAGAGACCAAAGCAAAACCTTTGAAGGAGCAGTGAAGAGGTTGATGATTGGATAACCCTTTTTTCCGTTGACCAGTCGATGGTTCTCTTATTGCTTTTTGGACTCACATATTGCTCTAACATGTGTTAAGGGCTTTAGTAAATCCTTAGTGAGTTTGGCTCTTTTCTGATGGATGTAAGTGGATGTCACTTCAATCCACAATTCACTAAAACTGTCCATTCAACTCTTTCATAAGTTCACTTTAGTTTTGTTTGTCTGTGCACTTTTGCTGCACTGGCCCTCTTGTCTCGCGGGAAGTGGCACGGATGTCACAAAGCCATCGATCAAACTGTACTATCGCAGCCAATCAACAGTGGAAGCTTACATAGTGATCTGTCTCTATGGATTAGATATGCTTTTCCCTCAGTCAAAATGGAGGGGGAGAATGCTGACCTCACTTAGATGCAGATATTGACACGGTACTGATTTCCTTTGGACTTTGGACGGAAGTCATTGAACTTCTGTGCACAAGACAGAAATCTGGTTCTGTTGTTAGTTGGATGAATCTGCTGCTTGTAGCACTGGCACTGTCTATAACATTATGAGGCAGTATAGCATGCGGTCCAGTTGATGAAACCACTGTAGAGCTGTTATCATCTTTAATAAGGGTGAACCAATTTCAGTGCACCCTTGAAAAGTTTTAAAAATAAACATTTGAATCAGTCTATCAAAAATGTAAAACTATATCACTGCTATGCCTCTTTCTCTTCCAAGGGTCTCTCATGTGCCGTCTTTGTGTGGAAACTACTGTCAGTGATCAAAAGGCCTCTAGGTGCATCCTGTCTATTTTTGTGTTGTTTATAAGTCAGTCGCACAGTATTGTAAGATCATTATTTTGCACAAGGACATACTCAACGATCTTCTGTTCTGAAATAACATTTGTATTATAGCTTTATTTTACCATTATATCTGAGCCAAATCAAGTTCTGTAGTACATAATTAGAACTTTAAATAAACAAAGACATTATTAACACATAAAATGTTAAAAATCAAATCCAATCTTGCCTTGAAAATAACAAACAAACCTGCAAATATGTATTATTACCCCCTAATCCTCCCTCTGCCAGCCTCCCAATGGCCATTTTACCAGCAGAATGGAAATCAAGTTAATTTGCTGGACCTGCAGAAATTGAATTTTATGACTACTGAGAAAAGGGATTAATAGATCCTGCATTGTAACACTTTCTTTACCTGACTTCTTTTTCTGTCTGCTATCAGTAATAATAATTTGACAGACTGATGTTAAGGTTATGATAACTAGACTAGGTGCCTGTTTTGACATGAATAAAGACCTTTGATCACAATCTTCCTCTTTTAGTGCTTTTTTGTTTCAAAATTTCTTACCTTTATTTCAAATTTCTTCCTGCTACTGGTGTTTTAGGTGGCTCGGGAGGTGCTAGCAGTGTCCCCGCCCCCACATTATCCCCCAGCCAATCACGTGACTCCAGTGGAGGGGACGGTAGTGCCTTGGAGAATGGTGGTGGACCTGGCAGAGGGAGACGGGGGGCGGGGCTGGAAACCTGGGAGATGACCTACAGTGACTCAGGGGAACCATACTTTACAGAGTAAGACATCTGTTCATGACCATATAGTACTGTTGTAATATTTATATTCTCCCAAATCCTGATGCTGAGTTTAGTGTTTGTTTTTTTGAGGTAGTACACTTTATATTACAGAGTGGTTCAAGATAAGAGGACGAAACAATTAATGCAGTATAGTGAATGAATGTCATAATGTAAATTATTACAACCAATACTGTATAATGCATGTGTGCAGTGTGTAGAACTGTGCAGTGATATCTTCTGTGTTTTTCAATAACAGTCTTGTAGTGACTCTAGGGTGCTTGTCTTTTTCTCATGCCAATACTGACATCTTGTGTTGTCATGTTGTTTTGCAGTCATCAGCCCAAGCCAGCCTCCTGGCATAGCCGCCGCACATCAAGCAGAGAGACGGTTTGCATGACTGAATGTAAGAACTAAGAATGTAATCTCTGTTATCACACATCTATTCCATTCTATTTTAAAGAATGAGAATACCATAACATTGGATAACAAAAGATAATAATGTACTGCTACACAAATGATTTCTTATTATGTTATGTATTTATGTATTATAAAATATCCCTTGCCATTTCATAAAGATGCACTCTAGAATTAGTAGTAGGTGCCTGACAGTGAGAGTAATAGATTAGTTACAGGTGTCATGATCTATTAAGACTTGGCCAATGCTCCATATGTAACACTAGAGGGTGCTGTAATAATATATTGCTGCATTTGTCACGGTGTGAGTCCGACAGACTCATAATGACTTCAGAATATTTATTTATTTGTTTGTTTGTTTGTTGTTCACTATTCCACAAGCTTCTTTAGGGTTTAAACAGTTTCTGCAGATACATGATACATACATTTTTTCCCCCTTCATCTGATTCCCTTTCCTCATATTGAACCTGGCTTTTCCTTTCCTCTCCGTCCTCTCAGTGGGAGAGTTTACAGATCAGCCAGAAGAGTTGAGGGGTTACTCACTCCACACTCGGATTTGTAAGGGTCCTCGTGGCTTCGGCTTCAACATTGTAGGGGGCAGCCGACCCAGAGAATTCCTACAGGTCTACAGCATCACACCCGGAGGACCCCCCACTCTCAACCCAGGTAACCAACCCAAGCACACATATGACAGCTGCAGCAGTTGCAGGTGGTTTGATTAGTGTCTAAAAGTTCAAATTTATTTTAGAGAACTTTTTTTGCACTAATAAAAAAATCTGCTAAACTAATGATTCTCACTATGTTTATTTTGCCTTGCAATATATTAAAAACCGAACAAAACACAAAATGTGACATGATTTAAAATCATTGGGCATTATTTTGACAAAAATTATTTATGTTTGTTGTGTCAGGAATATGACTAGATTAAATAGATTAATCAGAGCCCCCACAGAAATTAACAGTTGTATGCAAAAGTTTGGGTACCCCTAGTTCAGATGACATTGCGTTGATTTTCTAAGTGACAATAAGTTAACAAATCCTATACAGAGAGCACACTTCTGTATGTTTTAATGTACAATTACTGTTTGTTTTGCTAAATTTAACATATTGAGAAAAAATAAAACATACAATGTGGCCTGTGCAAAAGTTATGGCACGTTTTGTTTTTTATGTTTTTTTCCAAAATGTTAAACACAAATACATAGAAATTATGCCTTAAAATGTGCAGAAAATTTAAGTTTGTTCCCTATAGAGAATGTGTTCAATCAGTAAAACATGTAAAATGACCAGGGTTGTTCAGGCTGTTGCAGACACCTGTTTGTGGAATGTACTGTTATTTGTTAGCTTTTAATTTTAATTCGTTAGAGAGCTTTTTAACATTGCATTTCAATTTTGCCCCAGTGAAGGCCAGCTAGGCCAAAACATTGACAGCGTGACTTGATAAATAGTGGTGCTTTCAGAGGTATGGTCCATGACTAACTTTACTGATGTGAGAACTTCAACTATTCTTCACCTATTTCAATGTTTTTGTGATTTGTTAAAGACTATATTTGAATATTGCAGCAATATTACATATCAACGTTTGAAAACCCAATATTACAACAACAGTTAACAAGCAGTATATTATGCAGAAAAACAATATTTCTGCCCTTGCCAAATAGATCCTGTAGTCAGAGTATCCTCAGGAGAAATTAATTTTATTATTAAATCTATTATTAAATTGCTAAGAGCTTTCTAAAGAGCCAGAGCTTGCAAACTGCATTTTCCTGTTAGAGGCTTAGCCTGTTGGAATTACAGTCACAAAATTAGTATCATTTACATTCACAGAATTAGTATCATAGCCACAGAATTAGCTTAATGCTATGGTATAGATAGACAGTATAGTCTGTTGGCTACAGATAGTTGCAGCATATTGGCCTGGGTTCTGCTGATAGTATATGACGGAGAATCTGAGAATAGATTGTAAACGAGACAGCAGTGTGGTCAGTCTGCAGGAGGGTCATATGTCACAGTCAGAGGACGTGCAGCACTGGATTACAGAGCTTTATGGCTGTCTACTAATGGACATTTGCTTTTATCTTTCTCTCTCTTTCTCTCTCTCTCTTTCTCTCTCTCACACACATGCACACACACACACACACACACACACACACACACACTGACCACAAACAGACACTGGGGAGAGGGGAAAGTCTGCAGCACTGATGAATCTTGCATAATGAATAAAAGCTAAATGAAAGTATAGCAGTGAATGTCAGTAAAATTAAATATGTAAATGGTACCTAAAGGGAAATTCTATCGATTTTCACAGTTTCTACACAATTCACAAAATGTTTTTTTGTGATTTTGATACAAAATAGTGTATTGCAGATGAATACATTGACTCAAATATCTTAGTAACAATGGATAGCAATGTCTACAGTGGAAATATATCCGATTTATTTACTATCAAAAATGGCTAGTCAATCTACATAATTTTATATGTAATGTTGAAAATGGGAAAATAATAGCACATCTGAAGAAAAATCATTTTAGGAGACTGTTTTGCCTTACTCTGTACATCCTGCATGTACAGTACTGTGTGAAGGTCAGGCTCCCTTCATTTATTTAATTTCCAGTCAATTTTAGTATAGGTTTTCCTAGAGATATTTCTGAGGAGAGGAGATATGAGATAATATACCCGTATAAGGAAAAGGTAAGTCAAAAGAAGCAGCTTCCAAAAATGAAAAGAAAATTAAAAGATACAGAGAAAATTGGACATCCGTGCAAGACCTGATAGACCACCAAAACTGTCAGCATCAGATAAACAGCACCTAAAAAATCTGAAAAATCCATGTGTTTCTGTCCATCCTTCCACTGTGAGAAGACAACTTAGTGACTCTGAAAGGATGTGTAGCTGTTACTGAGTAAAAGAAATAAACAAAAAAGAAGAAAATATGCAAATCAAACAACGAAGTTGCTGATGTTCTCAGAGCAATGGACTGGCCACCCCAGAGTCCAGACCTCAACATCAATGGTTTTGTTTAGGATTATTTTGATTGTGAGAAACTGTAGAAAATGCAGCCAGCTTCTAAGGATGAATTTTGAAGGTATAGAAAATATCCCCTGCAGATCTCTTGGGAAAACTGAAAACAAATCTCTTGAAAAGGAAGGAAGCTGTAATAAAGGCAAAGAGTGGACACACTAAATAAAGAAAAAAATATATTTAGTTCTATTTAATTCTTTGTCATTTTCTGTTTCTTTTTTCCTGATGATAAAAAAAGATAACCTGTACTTAATGGCTGTTTTGACCAGAAAGCATATAAATGAAGTGTGGTCTCTGATTTTGCTCAGTACTGTATCTCTCCTCCATGATTGCATCACATTTTACATTTTTAGGCCAAGCAACAACGTCTTAGGCATCAGGTAACATATTTATAACTATTTAATGTAAAAATGGTGCTTTTAGAGACATTAAATGCTTCAGACGTCTGGTTCATATTACTATGAACAATTCCGACTCTGTACGTTTCTCTAGAACAGAGCATTTCATATCAGACCACCCTGAATGACTATGTTTATGCATTAAGAATTTAATTATTCAGAAAATTTGAAAAACCTGTGAAATTTCTGTTTAATAGTTACTGTCTTTGCATGGATAAGAACTAGAGCATCCTTTGCTGGACTATAAGACATATGAAAGGTGACAGGACTCAATAAGTAACAGTATAAAACAGTGTACTTATGCAGGTCGATGCTGACCCTAGTGGACGTTCTCTCTCTCTGTCTCTCACGCTGGACCAGATCTTTTATTGTATGATCCTATGCAGCATCTCAATCTCTCCCTAATCCTAATGGCCCGTGTACTGTAATCCAGCAGTGCTCGGGCCAGTACTCTCTCTAGCTTCTCTCACTTTCTGTCTTTTTCTCTCACTTGCCTATTTTCCCATTGCCTTTCTAAATTTTTTCCTCTGCACGGAATTCATTAAAAAGTATATTTTGATAATAGATATATTTAGGGATCAAGACATTGAACCAAGTGCTTAGTGAGCGACCATAATGAGAAATGCCATTAGGGTGGCAATATGAATATCGTCTCTTCAATCTTACACAATCGTAATTAAACCAACATAATTCAAAGACTCTCCCACGAAATTCAGTGCACTTACAGAATGGAGGAGTTGTGGTAGCGTGAAGTCTATTGGTTTTTACAGCATTAAGTGAAGAGGCAATTAGCAGGCTCCTTTGCTCCATTGCGCTGCACCAATGTGTCAGGCAGTTTGTCACTTTCTCAGTAAGTTTGGCAACATAACCTTCCCCCCCACATTCTTTAGGTCCCTCATCAAAAAAACAACCCAAACATTCTGAGCCAGATGTATGAGAGCAGATGCAGCGCAAAATGGGCTGTGGTGCAGCCGCTATATGTACCCACAGTGCACTCCTGAGTTTTAATGATGCAGCAAAATACTGGATTAGAAGAGTGGACAAAACAGAAAACGGAATTGCAGTGATGAAGGGATAGCGGTGTTAATAAATTAAGTTTTCCCTAACATTTTATAGGGATATAATTCTGTTGCACATAAAAAGCAGAATTTCTGAAACAGTGACACAGACTGTAAGAGCATATTTCGGTCCTGTCGTCACATTTTGTGCTTTGCCTGCTCACTCAAGTACCTCTCAACTTGAAATAGTGTTATTTTGAAGGCAAATATTTTTTAAGCACTTCTCATGTTGCCTTGCTGCCACTATTACTGCTTCTATAGTTAAAGGAAGCCTCCTATAAACATTATCATGAAACCAGCTGCTACTTGTTGCTCAAAAATAAACTTAATCGAGTGGAATATGTAATCAGATGCATTACTAATACCTCTGACCCTTGTCTGCACAATCCTTCCCCAAATGCATGAGGGAGAGAAGCACATTCTGAGTTTCCCATATGCATGCACCATAAATTACTTGTTCAGACTTGTGTGCCAGTTTCGTACATAACAAGAGGGCAGAATGCGTCTCATTTTCGCCTGAAACTGGTGCAAAAAGCTTAGGTCAAAAACATACTCAACACAAATGACAACAGTCAACTAACGCATTACAAACACAGTCTGAGGCTGGTAGAACTGTTGGTCTGTCATGACATTTGACTAGTTGAAAGCGTACTGGCAGTCTAAAACATCTCAGCCAGGCTAGGCTGTCACTATAGCAGTGCTCAGAATGAATGATGTCATGGCACATTTTAGTATGTGACAATGTGCAAAACTGTGTTTGCATAGCGTGAAGCGTCTGCGTTAGTGTGAAGCAAAGCGTGAAGCATCTGTGTATATTGGGTACATTGGGTGCTCAGCATACTATGACTATGGACTGTCAAGAGCATTAGATGTTTACTGTTGTTTGAATAAAAGAATAAGTCTTCCACATTCACATTCTCACATTTAAATTTACCTGCTAGTTACTGTTTTCCAAGTTCTATGAAAGTGAGTTTATATAAGGTAGTCTCTTAACACAACACTATTAGCTTTCCCGTCACAATTTCAGTATCAGTTGCACCGTTAGATGATATCTAATAGTGTACTAATTTTTACCATTTTCTATTTTGTCCTCTAGCGGATATCCTCGTGTACATCAATGACTGTTGTGTGCTGGGCACGTCTCATAAGGAAGTGGTAGAGTTGCTTAAGGCTGTTCCTGTGGGCCAGAGTGTGGATGTGGTGGTCCAAAGGGGCTACCCCATGCTCTACAACCCTGACGGCTGCCCCAAACAGCGCCGTCCTGGGCTTCTGGATGCCCGAGAACCTGCTTTAAAACCTCCACCTCCACCTCCACCCACCACTACCCAGCCGCAGCCCCAGGCCCTACTCCCAACACTAGCACAGCTCAACCTCAACGGGATGACATCAAGTGCTGAGGGGAGGTACGCTCGAGCCCTCGCAGGAAGGGCGTCCAGGTTGAGTCTGGATGCCAACGGCAATGCTTCGCATTTTTCTCCTCCTCCAAGAACTCCACCTTATTATGCATACTCCAATGGGAGTGAGAGTGGCTTCCTGAGGCCACCTCGTTCTGCAAGAGGGATCAGGCGGCTGCAGAGTGCAGACCTGGCCAGCCAAAGCGACAGCGAGGTGGTGTCAGCTATAGGATCACACAGGTAATGTTAATGGGAACCACAGAAAAATTCACAGTACAACTCACAGCTTATTTTAAAATCAATGTGAATTGGAAACATAGTGCATTTTCTTTATGTACTTTGATGCCTTTCTGAGGTGGTATCAGTTAACTGGGCATTTTGCTCAATGATAGGTGTGGAGGGGTCAAATATGACATCATTGTTTAAGTTTTCCTGGTGCGTTTTCTTTTGCTGACTTTTCCACTACCCTCTCAGGGCCTCCCTCATCCGAAACCACAACAACAACTCCCTCTGCCCTCCATCGCCTGTGCGCTTTTACTCCACCAAGTCCTCTGAAAGTGACCTCTCTTCCTATGCCCCGACACCACCCACCTCTCGATCACCCCTCCGTTACACAGAGACCGGTTCTGCACCCAGCTCTTCTTCCCCGGATGGAGGGCGCAGATACTCGCAGCTTCGAAAGCCCCAGCGCTCCCTGCTCACCCCTCCCACCAGCGCCCACTCAGACGGACCATACTTCACCTTCAACAGTGGCGCCAGTGTCAGCAGTGGCAGCCCCGGCAGCAGCATCCCCTCACCAGGGGCGACAAGTGGTGGCAGTGGGGTCAGGCCCGGAGGCAGAGAGCTGGTGCCAGTCGCCCTGGCCAAGTGTGAGGAGGGCAGAGGGATGGGGTTCAGCGTGATGGCTGGCGGGCATGGAGGGAGATTGACAATGGTGAAGAGAGTGTGGGACCGGCAGCAGTGTCACGGCCTTCAGCCTGGAGACATCATAATGAAGATCAACGGAGCCGACGTGCAAAGCCTTAGCTTCACTCAGGTATACATGGGTAAAAATGGCTTAGTCAAGCTGTTGTTGTTTGGCTATACATTTAGAATTATTTTAATGTGATTACATAACTACATACAGTATTGTACAAAAGTCAGATTTATTGAATTTTCTGTCAAAAACGGCTTTATATACAAGTTATTAATTTTTAAGCCTCAGAAAAGAAAAAAAAAACATTTAACAGAAAATTACACATAAGCCTCAATAACTAAATATATTTTTTTTCACTATTTAGTGTGCCCTCCAAAGTTCAGTCTTAGGAGTTGTAGTTAGCGTTGAGTTGTCTTCTCACGATAGACAAATGGACAGGGACACAGATTTTTTCAGATCTGAAGCAAGAGCAGACCTTTATTGTCTCCTGTTCCTCAAACAGAAAGCTCTAAGTAGTTTATCCAATGGAGACAGTTTTGGTGATCTCATTTTCACTACATCTTTTAATTATGTTTGGATCTGCAGTTTTGGAAGCTCTTGTTTTTTCACTTATTTTCTTTTGACTTTCCCCTTCATTATGCAAGTGAATTATGTTATCACCCAGAAATATCTCCTTTAGATACAAAACCTTGAAGGCAGCTAAGGTATGTTTGGGAAGTAGGTTGTTTGTTTGGAGTCTTTGCAGGTGAACAAAATGTCAGTGACTCTTTGGCAACAGCTTGGTTTGGTTTTAGTATTGGAAGGATGGAATAGTTAAAGTGGCAGTAGTGTGCACAAAAGTAAAGAGTGGACTTAAATGCTGATAGATTTGATATTATTATTATTAGTGTTGTAGGCCTTTATGTAATTTTCTATTAAATATGTTTCCTGTTTTTTTTGACACTGAAAATGTAGCTTGTAATTAATGGCCATTTTGTTTGTAAATTAAATAAATAAAAGAGTGGTATTTGCACTTTAAAGGTTTTGTCCCTCTTGTTTCAAACATAATTACAAAAATAATTGCAAAAAATTACAACATGCTTATTTTATCCCCTCTGATAACTGTGATGTCTAAGGTTGGCCTGATACTGAGATGTGGAAGTAGAAAATAAAATGTTGAATATCATTCCAGGTTCAGCGAATTCTGCAGGAACACACAAGTATAGGAGAGGTCATTCTGCTGGTTCAGAGAGGAGGCAAGTGACATACAGAGCTGTTCAGTTTCAGATTCTACCAAATGGACAAAAACCCATCATTTTGCTGATTAGAATAACTCAAGGTGTTTCTAATTCACAAACTGACAGTTTACCCACTGTTTCTCCTTCTTTATTATTTCTGTTTCCAGGCTCTTCACATTCTCCAATTTCTCCAAACTCTATGCATCAACACAGCTCCACACCACCACGCCCTGCTTCTGCCTCGCAAGTCCCTCTCGCCAACAGTCCACCTGTGCCACGGAACGCCATGACCCCACCTCCTCAAACACTGGTGCGCTCCTCGCTAGTCCAGAGCACCAGCTTCTTAGACTCAGTACCTGTCACACTGACGCTGGAGCCACGTGATTGGATGAGCTCTGAGGATGGTGGGACTGCACTCAGCCCCAGAGTGAGGATAGAGGAGAAGGTTCGGCCTCCTGCACTGCAGGGATTCGAGGTGGAGCTCAAGAGGAGGCCAGGAGAAGGATTCGGATTTGTTATTGCGTCACAGGATGTGGAGAATGGGAGAGGTGAGTACTTCGACAACACTGAAGTATAAACATGGTACCAAAGATGTCTTCTAGGATTTCAGGAAGCTCCGATTTTTTTGAAGCTCTCTTGTTTGTGTTCATGTTTAACGTACTGCATGGAAGTCAGAGATCATCCTTGATCGATTTAAATTACAGTGAAGTACAGTTTATTCAGTTTTGGGAGGTATTTCTAAAGAGCATGTAGAATCAGTGCTATCTGTAAGCTACTTTGTATCACTATGTAAAAGATACACAAGACTTCTTTTATTTCTGGATGCACTCTAATAGTTTCTCTATTGAGCTCCTCAGCCTTAGGGGGTTAATGCTTTCCACTTTGAGAGGAGAAAATAACACTCTATGCTTGCTTCAGATTTGAAAAAAATCCACAGGTGTTTCTGTCCAACCTTCCACTGTGAGAAGACGTTCAACACTATGAGTCTGAAAGGATGTGCAGCTGTCAAGAAGCCCTTAGTGAGAAAAGGAAACAGACAAAAAGAAAAATTTGCAAATCAAACAAATAAGCTGCTGGTGTTCTCAGAGAAATGGACTGACCAGCCCAGAATCCAGACCTTACAAAATATGTTTGAGATTTTTTTGGATTATGAGAAGCAGAAAATGCAAACAACTTCCAAGGTATAAGTCTTCTAAGTGGAAAAATATCCCTGCAGATTTCTAGGAAAAACTGAAAGCAAGTCTCCCTTGAAAAGAAGCTGTAATAAAGGCAAAGTCTGGGCACACTAAATATTCAAACATTTGATATTTGATTTGAGGCTTCTGTGTAATGTACTAAATTTATATTTTCTGTCTTTTTTGCAACACTGAAAAATGAATAACTTTTACGCAATAGTTGTTTTGACTGGAAATTACATTAATGAAGGGTGATCTCTGACTTTTGCACCAAACTGTAGTTTTCTTGGTGGCAAATAAGTTTCTTTCTGCAGTAGCTGATTTTTAAATCCCTTTGTGCTTGACACTCATAAGCCTTAAAAAAAGATGACCCAAATGCTGGTTACATAGATGTACCCTCAGCCTCATAGAACTCATGACACACAGGGGGATTCATAAGTCAAATTCTCATCCTGGGCATGTTTGGAAATACCTGAATACTTACGTGTGTGATCATGTATCATCATATATATTGTCTGTGAGTTTAGTGCCACCTGCTGGTGCACAGTGTGTTTTGGCCTCAGGTTCATAGTTTGTGTTTAATTAGTCTCTGGGCACACTTACAGTGAGGTATTCGATCTCTCAGACAGATTGGAGGCAAAGTTGATTAACTTTGATTTAGTCTTTTCCTAGTTTAATGAGCAAAGCCGGAACCTCCATGAAGCCCTTAAATGTAGCCTGCAAAGTGAGTAAGAGAAAACAGACTTTCTTTGATATGCTAATAGTTCTGCTGTGTATTTAACAGCATTGGGCCACACTAACTGACTACAAATAGCTTCAGGAAGCTTTAATTTTGATCCATGTCGCTCCCTACTCCTTTATGAACAGATATAGTTCTTTGTCTAGGGATATGTAAATTATGTAAAATAAGTTGTGGTTGTAAATGAATGCCTGTACTCTAAAGTTATAATTTAAACCATAAGAAGAATCTCTGTTTAATAATAAATTGTTAAATATTTTTATGACTTTTGTTATGTCCCTGGAAACTACTAAAAGTGGAATAGGAACATCCTTAAGTCTTAACACTTGTCACTCCAACACCAGCAATTATACTTCATTCACAAATATTTGTGTTTTGTTCTCTAAACTTGCAGATATTGAACCTGAGTTGTGGTGCATGAAGCCATATTAGTCTGCTCACTGCACACTAAGCTAATGCTAGCCTTTAGTGCTAATGAGGAGTAGCTCGTATAATGGTTTTGCACACAAAAACAAGTTTGCTGCCACAGGTTTGAGGTTCATTTTCAAAATGTTTGTCAGTGAAGCATCAGTGAGCAAGAATCTGTGCTGTGGTGTGTGAAGCAGTTTTACCTGCTTGCTATGCTAACGCTAGACAAAATAAAATCCAATAAAGAAATTTAGATTTAAAAAATGTATTTGATGACATTACATTGTTTTGTTACTAAAATACGTAAAAAATACAAATGTAAAAGGAAAAGAAGAATTTAATAAGTTATATATAGCTTGAAAATATGTTTCGCTCATTGGGTCAGGGGGTCAAGTGTCGTTATAGGCCACTTTGGCCCACTGGACACACTTTGGGCAGCCCTGCTGTAGTGCTAACAAGGACAATGGAGCAAGAGTAGCTTACCTAACACATGACAAATATGTTGGCTCCCTCAGAGTTGATTCTTTAACCTCTAAACTTGCATCAGTGGGGCTTCAGTAAGCCAGAATCAAACCTGTGCTGTGGTGTGTGAAGCTATAGCATACTAAGCTGCTGCTAACATTGTAAGCTCTACAACATATTTGCCAGTTTATTAGAAAGATATAGAATATAAATTTGACACCGTTGTCATTTTAAATAACACCATATCTATTTTAGTCAACTGCAAACTGCACTGTTTAAACATCTCAAATATTAAGTTAGCTGTGTTAGTGCATGAGTGTATTTTAGTATTGGACCTTGATAGGTTCAGTGTTTGATGTACAAAACTAAGCTGCTACGTAGCGTCTACAAAAAGCTTTTTTTGGAAAATCTGAGAAAGCCTGTGTTTTAAACTTTTAGGCTTTAAGTAACAGATACATTTTTGTAGAAATTGACAGATTTGTCTTATATGAACTTGAACTTTACTGATAATGACTCAGCACTTTTAATGCTAAGGCCTTCTAACCACACACACACACACTCTACCGTCCTCCCGCTCTACCCTACCTAAACCCATGATGACCTAATTTTGTGCAGTGCGCCTTTGATTTTTAACGAGGCCATGGCATCACTAAGTGCTTAGGCTTCTAAAAAAATGTCCCTAGTGTTACAGTGCCTGCTGTGGGTGTTGGCTGTTGTGAGGTGTTCTTGTTTGAGTTTGAGCGATAGACGCCAGATTGAATTAAGGACGCTCGACCAAGCTGAAATACTAAAACAGCATAAAATCACAAGTGTGAAATTATCACCTGAGGAGTCTGCTGGAGGCTGGGGTATTTACACAGCCATGAACTGAAAAACTTACTCAAGATTAAGAAACTTTTTGCAGACATAAAAAAGAGCTGGCAGCAAACAGTCTTAGTGGTCATATGACTTTGTAAGTCAGGAATAAAGAGTTGAATGTTGCCCTTTGCGTTGGAGCATGGAACAAAGGATAAACCAAAATTAATTAAGATTAGACAAAATGAGTTGCATATTGAGCAATATAAAAGCAGTATGTGGTAAAATGGAATGTTAGAACAAATTTGTGAAGAAATATTTGTCCATTTTTTAACCTCTTCTTTGCTGCATTTGTAGCATATGGATTATCACAGACAGTAATTTTGACATATTTCCACCCTGATTTCAATCCAGAAGGATAAGTGGAAGTTAGAAGATGTGTGTGTGTGTGTGTCATTTCACATAATGGTTTTACATAATTTACAAATTTGAAGCACCAGTACAGGCCTTTTAGCAGCTAGAACACAAGTGATGGCCAATAAGAGTTTTTGGAATGACCTCTGTTTATATTTATTGTTGATGAGGAGTTTCAAAAGAAGATTTCTTCCACATTTTGATCTGGTAGACTTTGGTATGGAAAGCAACAGATTTTTAACAAATAAAGCAATGAGCGGTATAGTTTACAACTGTATTGCATTTGCATAGTTTTTGAACAAACATAGTTGTTGACGAATTAAGTGGATCATTCTACAGCGATTACGTACATTTCGTCTCAGTGTGTCAAATCTTTCTTATTTTCCTGTTAAAACCACTCCAGTTTTCTCCTGGGGAGCTGGGCCTTGATTTCTGAGCTTGTCAGCTTTTTGACTGCTGATGAGTATACATGTCTAAACTAAACAAATTATACTGCACATTTTGTCGTCTTTATGTTTGAAATGTTTTCGTATTGCTCTACTTAGATTTGGCCGTTTTGCTAAATGAGAGATCATTGACCATTTGTGTGAGGCTCAATATCAGCTGGATTAGGATGAAAAACACTGGAATATTTCTTTAATTTCTCTGTGCTTCTTTGAGAAAAAATGAGCAACATTTGTTTTTTAGTGCAGCCTTAACATAAGCACTGCTATTTTGGTTTCCTGAGGAGGACATATTTGTTAAGGGTTTATTTTTAGCTTTCGTTGGGTTTTAAATTATTGTAGGGTGGAAGCTGAAGAAAAACTGAAATTTAACAGGCTATATGTAGCCAGTCAGCAGTATTTGTTACATAATCTGTGACACTGTAAACTGATGGCCTTGCCTATTAGCTGTTCAGCCAAACACTAATGACCATATTCTGTCTTGCTTCTGCCCTTGTCGAAGACAAGTAGCATTTGACTGCTGAGTTATCAGAAAGATATTTTTGGCTCATGTATGTGTGTGCATGTGTTTGTGTGTTGTTGTAAATGAAGTCAAGATTTGAAGTCTGAGCACTATGAAATAACATATGGGACAGCTATAGGGGAGCAAAGTGAAAGGAGCAAAACAACCAAGATTTGCGTTTTCATTATGCTATGAGGTAGATTTATGTACACTGTACATATGTTTGCATCAAATATTAGTGTAAGTATAGGTGCCTTAATAAGTGATTACCAGGTTACAATTCAAGTTTTTAACAGATAATCTGTATCTGTATCTGTAACAGAATACATTTTCAAAGTAACCACCCCACCCTGGCAATCAATGAGAGCACAAGTGAAAGCTCTTTTGATAAAGCAAAACAAAAAAGCTACTGCTAGCTGTAAGTTTATCACAGAAGTACACTGAATCTGAAGTATTTACAAGTAAAACACACCACTGATCCCGGCAATATCGTACCCTGGATTACACTGGACACTGGCTTGTGGGACAACTATGGCTCAACCAATGAGCAGCAAACTAACAAAAGCAACAGCAATCAGAAAGCTTGACACAAGACATAACGTATGAGAGC